CCGTAACAAAAAAAATCTCAAGCTGTTAATTGACCAACATGTATTCCTGAGGAAATCAGAGTAATCAGATGGATATTCATTGCACAGAAAGGGAAGATACAGCTAGCTTGTGCATTGCTTTTATGATTCATCTGCTCTGATCTACTTTTGATTGTTTTTTCCTCCTGTGAGGCCAGTATTGTAAATCAAAGATTTGAGAAATAAGCCTGTGTTAAAGTGACCCAAATTAAAAGCCAGTTGCCACCTTTCTTCTCTTACTAGGCAGCCGTCCATTTTTGTGCAGAAACAGACATATGTCAAAGGCTGTCATACAGCTACAAAAGCAAACCGGTTAGCTCATGGTCTGCCTTTGCCAATGTTTAAGGTCAGCTACTGGAAAAAGTTACAAAACAGCTATTACGGCCAGGTATGATCCTGCGGAAGGCCCTTTATTGAGAACTGATATTCTTTGCTCATTTTTGTGCAAGTCAGTGGGACTCTGCCCTGAAAAAACAGCCTGTGATTTGCCAAAGGACAGCAAGATGTGTGCAGGTCGGTTTTGGGGTTGGTGGTGGGTTTGTTTTGGCCATTCAAGTTTTCCTGTTGTAAACTTCCTTTTTGTTGACAGATGGGACCATTCCTGAAAATGGTCAGGACAGTTTGTCCATGTGGTAGGTTTTCTTCTCCTTCACTACCTTAAAGTAAAGTATTACAGCAGCTTGAACAACACTCTTCCTGAAGAGGTTGACATGAAGGGCAGAGGCACCAGTCTGGCAGAGAGGATGCAACATCCCTGTTGCAGCCCAAGGAATTCTCAAACTTTACCTAAACATGGTCACCCTCTGGCATCTGCACTCTGGTCAGCAGCCTTCCCTGTAGGACACAGACTTGGACCTAGTTACGATTTTAATGAGCAGAGCCCAGAAAAGTAGTTGGTGACTGTAGGAAAAAAGCAAGCAAGCAGACCATAAATCAGGTCATCCGATGAATTCAGAATGCACTAAAATAATCAGAGCTTCCAATAAATTTCATTTCAAGCAGAGTAGAAACGGTTCCTCAGTCGAGAGTTCAGGACAGATTATAATTTCAGATGTGTGTCAGGCCAATGCAATATGTCTACAAAAATGTTTGCAGGCAGGCAGCAATGGCTGGTCCAGAGTCAGGCCCTCACACCAGTTGCACTTTAGTATGATTCAATAAAAAGGCGAGACTCTCTAGTTCTCTGAGCAAAGCTGAATCTAATTAAATATTTAATATTTTTTTTCCCCCCAAATCCTTTGGTTTCTTGCTCTTTCATACTGTGCTATGATGACATTTGAACAACAAATGCAGTCTTGGTAGGTTGGTCTCCTGGTACTGCTTTTTATATGAAAAGCTTGCACATCCCGGCTGAAGTCCAGATGCTGCACTTATGAGGTATTTTGTCGTGATCAATTTTTAAAAAGTATTTTTCCGTCCCATGAAATTAATAGGCACCTGGGGAAATACCAACCAACTCCTCCTCACTCCTGCAAATACTAACCCTTCCCAGATGGGAAGGGAGTTCTCTTCCCCTTTATTTACCTGCAAGATGTCCTTGCTGGTGCTCAGAATCAGAGGGAGAAGAAAAAAAAAAAGAAAACCTTCGTAAGTGGAAAACATTACAAACAGACCGACTGCACATACTCCAACTAAGAACACTGCCTTCTGAGGCTCCATTATATTGAATAAACCCTGCATAATCTTCCCAGGGTCACAGAGTGAGTCATTAGCCAGACGGCACTAAGATAGAGGCATCCTGATTTTTGTAACTACTCTGATTACTTTAAGACCCCAATTTAAAAGGCCATAGGTTTGTGCTGGCAGCACAGTCATACAGATAACTACTCACGGCTTTACAAATTGGTTTTCTTGCAATCATCTCACTACTATGGGCCTGCAGCCCTTTTTTGTTTTGTCTTTTTTACTTGTGTTCTGTTCAAAATTATTTATGTTTTTTTCTACAAAAAAGCAAGCCAGAGATGAGCAGGAGCCTCTCCTCTGCCTTCACGTGCCCACACCAGGACTGTGCGTGCCTCTCCGCAGCCCCGAGCACTCAGGCCAACTCTCTGCTCTGGGCCTGGGACCTCCGCTTCCAGCATGTTCCTGCCCGTCAGCATCAAGCATCCTTCATGCGCTCATCAGCTATGGATTGTTCTTCAAGAGAGACTTTAGGATGCTTAAAACCAACCAACTGACCCAAGAGAGCATATGAGGAGAAAAACTGAAATTGCTTTCATTTCTTTTCTTGCTAAGCTTTTCCTTATTGTTGCAGTTCCCTTTCAGAATGGGGAGTCTGTAGGTGGCTGCCTTGGCATCATCATTAAAGACAAAAAAGCTGCTGTTATGGCTGGTTAGACTTTGGATGCCACATTCCCTGTGGAATAGTAAAGGGAGAGTTTCTTCTTGCACTTATTTTTCTAACAAACAATGAATATTTGTTTTCATAGACTTCTGTGGTGTTTGCACCCACCATGTAGCCTGGCAGAGCATGTCGGGAGAGATGATGGTCTGGCTAGACCCATCCAGCCACCACAGCACTCTGGTTAAGCAAAGGCTGGTTCAATATAGACCAAAACAAGTAACTGTGGAAAATGGTCACTTGACACCTTTTAGATAGAATACAGGTATTTTCTGAAGATTGTAGATGCACTTTTATATGTCACTAAAATAACTGTAATTTCTCATTACGACCCTTAATACCTGAATGAAAATTATTCATGTAGGTGTGCTTCAAAAGGTACTGCCCCTTCACAGAGGGAACACCTTTGGCCATACTGGCTGACACTTTCATGGCAAAGGCATAGTTAATTTTAAAGTGGAAAAGCAGCACAGGCTTGCAGCATGAGACAGTTATATGTCTTTGACTCTTCATTTCATACATAAAGACATCCAATGGAAAAAAAAAAAACAGATCAATAAAAAGAAATCTACATTTGCTTCTGCACTAGAAAAAATACGTATAGGTTTGGAATTTTTCTTTTTCGGCACCATGTTTCTTTTTCCTTTAAAAGATTTTTTTTTTTTTTTTTTAGTGAGATACAACTAGGTACCAGTGTATTGTTATAACATGCACAGTAATTTCAAATGATTAATACCCTGACAGCATAATCTTACAACAAATAATTTTTATCCCTTATCTAAAATCAACTTTTAATTAAAACAATACATTATATTTGTTTTCTGATACTAAATTACCCTGATTATTTTAAAATTACGTGTGATGTTGGCACACAGTAAATATACGGCATGTATATTTCTGTTGGGCTTTACTGTCTGCCTGAAACGTGAATTTCAATTATTAAGCATTAGTAAGTATTTAGGAATGTCCTGCTATTTAGAGTCTGCAATTAATTTTGCAGGAACGATCTCTATCTTTTTGTAGCCTACATTTTAGAAGGAACACACTATCTTCTTTCAAAACTGTACTGTAGTTGCACAAAATGGGTATTTTTTTTCTAACCTTAACAAGAAAGGTTGCAGGAACCAGAGCCCAGCTGAAACCTGGATCAAGCTCCAATAAAGGTTTCATATGGGCGTATATTACGTATTTTCAAATTCAGTGCATCTTGTTGGCGTGTCATATGGGCAACCCTGACTCTGTACTACACTCTGCCACTGCATGCCAGTTACTTTGATGTTTTATATTTAACTCAGGCAGCTGAAAGTCATCTACAGACACTCACTCTCCCTCAAGAACATGCATGTCAACATGTGGCTGCAATGAAAACGGAAAGACACCTGTATGCGTCACCGTCCGCCTCTGCACGTCCCCTGTAAGGCTGATGAGAGAATGTCTCTGTGCCTTCTTCACAGAGCTATTAAAGGCAAGCAGAGTTTTTCCTCTATTGTAATCCTAACAATGCACCTAAAACTAGCTTCACTAATAATGAAACTAGACACTCAGTACATTGGAATATTTTATTTTTTGACTTTACATGCGGTGTTAAAAACCCAAAGAACGTATTATTTACACATCCACAATACAAGTTTACAAGATATCTATACATGTTAAAGTACTCTATAGTATAGAGCAGCTTCATTTAAGGGTTACTTTTTTTATGCCGTACCATTAAAAAAGATACAATCTGCGTTTACCTTTGCACAAATGGATAAAGCATCTTTTATTATTAAATTAACAGAATAAGGACTAGGTTGAATGTTAGAAATTTCAACATAAATACTGAGAGAACTCACATTACCATCTACAAGGCAGCACAATGTTACAGGAGGTTATCAGGGTTCACACACATTTATCTTTCGATTTCACAAGTCTGTATTAATTAATATTTGTAAAGTGAATTCAGATCAGTTTGTGTCTTTTGACAACCAAGTACATTTTTAATAGTTATTAATCTGTAGTGTTTTAGTTGCAAGACAGAAGTGTTTAGGAAGAGAGATCATTGATTTTTTGGATCTAGAGGTCTCAGGAAATAAATGTTCCTTACAGCCTTACAAGAAAAAATGACTACTTCTATCCTTTATTCTTTGTTCTGTAACAGAGAGCCAGTTTTCAGTGACTAACCTTTTCTCCCCTTTGAACACATAACATAAATCTCCACCGTCTCTGAAACCCATTGCAGTTATTTGTCCCGCTAATTCATGAATACTCCTCTGCCGTGGTTATTTCTATAGTTATGTTCAATAAACAATGTGGTAGTGTGTAGTTTGCAAACTAAAATAGCCATCTGTGTTGAACATCAGCTGCAAGTGGATACTGTAAAACCTACTAAATAGCTTACACAACTTTAGCAGGTGTTCCATTACCCTAGAAACCTCATTTGATTTCACATTATAACTGTTTGATCCTTCAGAGAGCTGGAGTGGAATGTTTATCATGGTAAGGTGATTTAATGCTGCTGTCTTCTTGGATTGTAGGCTGCCTTTAGTTACCATTAATTATTCTTGCTTTTTATCTTTTTTTTTTT